ACCTTAAACCAAGACAGCAATGCCTAAGTGTACGTAATAAGGCAAACAGATTACTGGGATTTATATCAAGAAGCATAAGCAACAGAAGTTCAGGTGTTATGTTATAGCTTTACACATCATTAGTAAGGCCTCACCTAGATTATGCAGCTCAATTCTGGTCTCCATATTACAGAATGGACATAAATTCGTTAGAAAACATTCAGCGTAGGATGACTAAATTAATACATAGCATTAGAAATATTCCATATGAAGAAAGATTGAAGACTCTTAAGTTACATTCACTTGTTAGACGAAGAATGAGGGGAGACCTGATCGAAGAGGATGTTAAGGTCTTGAGGATATCTCTCCAAGAGAGAACCCGCAGTAATGGATTTAAATTAGACAAGTTTAGATTTAGAAAGGACATAGGAAAGTATTGGTTGACGATGTAATCAGTCCATCACCCTTGAAGTTTTCAGGTGGTCAGTACCTCAGTCTGGAGAAGAGAATAGTTCCATAGTCAAAAACAGCATGGAGTTGAAGTTACAGGATGGAGCCTTATATACCGCCAGGAGGTGAGGTGTAGGCCACTCCACAGTCCTATCACACAGTTGCTCTTCGCTCAAGGGGGCAGTTGGGGAATTAATTATCGTCTTTTTGTTTACCGTCCGATTTCCTCCAGTTTTGGTGCACAAGACAAATTGTTCTCACTCTTTCTTGAAAATATTTATCAAAAATGTACCTCAAACAACAACTGAGAAAAGACTGAGAAAGGACTAATTCACTGAAAATGCCCTTGGGGGGCGATTTATTCCTATGTGGGACGACGTAAGGTTATTTGGACACTTGGTGCCGAGTGGACAATGCTAATACGATTTTTCTTAGGGGCCTTTTCCTCTAAAGAATGCATTAGATGTTTCCACAGCAGTCTCTTTCTTCTTCATTGTTTCTGTCTTTCCATTCTTCTTGATCATCACCTTCGTTCCATGCTGTCCAGCCACTGACCACGTTCCCTTCTTGACCTGAGGACTATAAACAGGAGGACTACTACGAATCCTCTTGTTTACCTCAGTTAATCGCCTTATCTCCATCTTCGCTACTCTCAATTCTTCCTTAAGCTGCTGGTAAAGTTGCTAGACGGAGGGAATCTTGGTTCAGTCCACAGAGAGCACACAAGACACTTCTTCACAGAGTTAAGTACAGGTCACCACCGAGTTAAGTACAGGTCACCACTGAGTTAAGTACAGGTCTCCACTGAGTTAAGTACATGTGACCTGTACATAGCTCAGAGATGACCTGTACTTAGCTCAGAGGTGACCTGTACTTTGCTCAGAGGTGACCTGCACTTAGCTGAGAGGTGACCTGTACTTAGCTCAGTGAGGATATGTTGAGTGTGCTCTCTACGGACTGAACCAAGATGTCCTCCATCGAGCAACTTTACCAACAGCTTAAGGAAGAATTGAGGATAGCGAAGATGGAGATTCGTCGACTGACCGAGGAAAACAAGAAGATTCGTAGTAGTCCTCCTGTTCTGAGTCCTCAGGTCAAGAAGGGAAACTGGTCAGTGGCTGGACAGCATGGAACGAAACTGACGATCAAGAAGACGAATGGAAAGGTAGAAACGATGAAGAAAGAGACTGCTGTGGAAACTGTTGTGGAAACATCCAATGCATTCTCAGTGCTACTCGACGAATGTGAAACAACTTCTGGGAACGTCACGACGAACAACACCAAGGAAGGTAAGAATATTGTTGTTGTTGGGGATAGCCAAGTTAGGTACATGGATAGGGCATTCTGCTTGAAGGACAGGAGTAGGAGACAAAGGGTTTGCTTTCCTGGGGCTGGGATGGAGGATATTGATAGCCGTCTGGATGACATCATGTTGGCAGACGTAGGAGTGAGGACCTGATTAGCAGGAATAGGTCAGCAATAGAAATAATTAGGAGGAAGGGTAGGAACCCTGTCATATGTGGTATTTTGCCAAGGAGAGGAGTTGGAAATGAATGGTTGGTTGTCCAGGGCAATTGGTGTCAATTGCTGACTGAACGAATAGCGTAAGGAAAATGCGGTAACATTCATTGACAACTGGGACCTGTTCTATGGCAGAAATGACATGTATGCCAGGGATGGGGTTCACTTATCTAGGTCTGAGGTGGGGGCACTGGCAACGGCAGTGAAGGGAGCTGTTAGGACTTTAAACTAGGAATAGTTAGTGGTATGGGTGTTGGCAGGAAAACAGTGAAGTCCCAGTGTAGTAATATAATGAGTAATAGGCTTAGTAGAAAAACAGAAACGAGCAGGAAGGGTAAAGAGAGAGGAGAGTCTTTCAGTGCATATTATGCTAATAGCCGTAGTGCTAGGAATAAGAGAGACGAATTGAGATTAGTTGCTAGTGCAGGTAACATTGATGTATTTGCCATAACTGAGACGTGGTTTAATTCAAAAAGTCGGGACATGCCTGCGGAATGTCACATTCAGGGTTTTAAATTGTTCCAAGTAGATAGAATTATCGGGAAGGGGGGTGGGGTGGTATTGTATGTCCGAGATCGCTTGAACTGTTGCATAAAAACGGGTATTAAGTCTGAAGTAACACACACAGTCTGTTTGGATAGAATTTTCAGAGGGCATGAAAAAATTGATTTTAGGTGTGATATACCGTCCCCAAAACTTAGACAGGGACCACGGGAGACTACTATGGGAGGAAATTGTTAAGGCCACAAGGCACGATAATGTAGTAATTCTAGGAGACTTTAACTTTAGTCATATTGATTGGAATTTCTTGACTGAGAATTTAGAATCATACGACTTCTTGGAAGTAGTTGAGGATTGTTTTATGAAGCAGTTTGCGCCAGAATCTACAAGGGGAAAAAAACTGCTTGACTTAGTTCTGGCAAACAATGAATCCCTTTTTAATAATTTAGAAATTTCATAGGAACTGGGTGCTGTCGACCACAAATCAATTACATTTAGCACTGAATGGAAGTATGAAAGAAGGGATAACTCAGTAACAGTCCCAGATTTTTGCTTAGCAGATTACGATGGGCTTAGAGAACACTTATCATTTGTTGACTGGGGTAACGAAGAGAGCTATCAATATGACAGTTTTCTGAACACTATACATGCTGCTCAAAGAACGTTTATCCCGTATAAAGAAATTAGATCAAATAGAAATGACCCAAAATGGATGAATAATAGGCTGAAATATCTACTAGGGCATAAGAAAGGAATTCATAGGCGTATCAAAAGAGGTGAGGGTCATCTTATGAATCAGTATATTGACATTAAGAGGGACATTAAAAAGGGGATAAGAAAAGCTAAAAGTGACTATGAAATTAAAGTTGCTAGGGATTCTAAAACTAACCCAAAAAGTTTTTTCCAGGTCTATAGAACAAAAGTCAGAGATAAGATAGGTCCCCTTAAAAATAACTATGGGCAACTTACTGACAAAGAGAATGAAATGTGCTCGATTTTAAATAATTATTTTTCTCTCGGTTTTTACACAGGAAGTCACTAACAATATTCCAGTAATTAATTTTTAAAGTGGGCTAGAAGAAGATAAATTACGTAACATCACAGTCACTAGTGAAATGGTTGTGAAGCAGATAGACAGACTGAAGCAAAATAAATCGCCGGGCCCTGATGAGTTTTTTTCAAGGGTTCTAATATTTTTAATTTATCTCTTCAAACAGGTGTAGTGTCTGATATGTGGAAGATGGCTAATGTAATTCCTATTTTTAAAACAGGGGACAAGTCGTTACCGTCAAATTACCGCCCAATAAGCCTGACCTCAATTGAAGGCAAATTACTAGAGTCAATTATAGCTGAGATTAAAAGAAGCCATCACTGCGGGTTCTCTCTTGGAGAGACATCCTCAAGACTTTATTAATTATCCCCTTTATTAACACCCATCTTCCATTTATGCACTTCGATCAGGTCTCCCCTCATTCTTCGTCTAACAAGTGAATGTAACTTAAGAGTCTTCAATCTTTCTTCATAAGGAAGATTTCTAATGCTATGTATTAATTTAGTCATCCTACGCTGAATGTTTTCTAACTAATTTATGTCCATTTTGTAATATGGAGACCAGAACTGAGCTGCATAATCTAGGTGAGGCCTTACTAATGTTGTATAAAGCTACAGTATGACCTCTGGACTTCTGTTGCTTACACTTCTTGATATAAATCTCAATAATCTATTTTCCTTATTACGTATGCTTAGGCACTGGAAATAAATGACCTTGATGAAGGGATTTCGAGTGACATGAGCAGATTTGCAGATGATATGAAGATAGGCCGTATGATTCATTCTGAGGAGGATAGCAATGAACTCCAGGAGGATTTGGACAAATTAATGTCTTGGTCTGAAAAATAGCAGATGAAGTTCAATGTGATAAAGTGTAAAGTATTAGCACTTGATAATCAAAATAACCCTCGAAGCTATAATCTAGGTGAAGTAGAGCTTGGTCATACAGAATGTGAAAAAGACTTGGGAGTCATGGTAAGCAGAAATCTAAAGCCAAGACAGCAGTGCCTCAGTGTGCGCAACAAGGCCAACAGATTACTTGGATTTATCTCAAGAAGTATAAGTAACAGAGGTCCAAAAGTTATTTTACAGCTCTATACATCACTAGTGAGGCCTCATTTAGATTATGCTGCTCAGTTTTGGTCCCCTTACTACAGGATGGACATAGACTCATTAGAGAACATACAGAGAAGAATGACTAAAATGATTTACTGTGTAAGGAACCTCCCGTATGAAGATAGACTTAAGACTGGCAAGGAAAACATGTTTTTACTCTTAAATTTGCAATTAAGCTTCACTATGGAGAGTTATCTATTGCCTGGTTATGTTTCATGTGTCGTAGTTTATCCTCTATATAAATATACAATTATTTTTACAATTTTTACTCTTACAGTTAACAGGCTCCAATTTTCCTTATAACAAATTTTAGTTTTATTGACAAATTAAATTTGTTAAAAGCTCTTAGTTTGTTAAAATATAATGAAAGACAATTTGCTAACCTAGTATAGATATTGCTGATGTGATCCCTCCAATAAGAGAGAATGTTATTGGTACTGGAGACATTGTTCTGCCCCCCAGTAAGTAGTCCAGTGATGAGCTGTTGCCACGACTCTTGAGAGCTCCATACACACCGATACCCAGGGAAGTGACCAACATGAGGGCGATGATAGTGTAATCTACCACCGTTAACTTCGGCTTCAGCAAGTGATCAACTGCCGTTGGCTCCTCCAAAGACATTTCCTGCAGACAATGGTACAATAACGTTGAGATCTGCCTCACATATTAGGTTACATAAATATGATTACCCAGACATGTCATTTAACTCTCCTCTGCAGGTACAGCAGTCACTCACTGCTTCCCAGGACACCCCCAAGATTAATATTTTCCTTACTACAACATACCAAGAATACCACAAACATCTCCCAAGTGATACAAGGCAACTCAGGAACTACATCCATCTTCTCTCATGAAGCCTCCGCTTCCCATCTGTCTATATATGCTACAAAAATTTCTCTTGGAAAGATAAATTCTTAAATGTATTATATCAGTGTGAAATGGGAGGAATGAGGTACATAGGTTTGATCAAAGATACGAGACATGAAGTTAAAATTACTTGGACCACGATCCTTACACTCCACTTTTCATGGCACTCCCATGAAAAGTGTTCTCCCTCATTAATTATCAAGTTATCAGCATTGAAAGGTGAAGACAAATGAGACACTTGTGGAATATTTGGGTATCTTTATTCTGGAAATATTTCGCCATCCAGTGGCTTCTTCAGTTTAAGGTAATCAGTCCCTCTGTCAGTAGTGTCACTGATTACTTGTATTACTTGTGTAGTATATGTATATAATCCCAGATATGTTGTAGTTCGGCTCCCTGACTAAAAGTGTAGGCTCCGTGGCTAGCTGTGACGTCAGATGCATGTCCTCTCAGATCCCGACAAGACACTGGGCAAGGCCAGGCCTGGGCTCCCCTCACAAGACATAGACTGGGCAAGGCCAGGCCTGGGCTCCCCTCACAAGACATAGACGGGGCAAGGCCAGGCCTGGGCTCCCCTCACAAGACATAGACTGGGCAAGGCCAGGCCTGGGCTCCCCTCACAAGACATAGAAGGGGCAAGGCCAGGCCTGGGCTCCCCTCACAAGACATAGACGGGCCAAGGCCAGGCCTGGGCTCCCCTCACAAGACTCTATCAATATAAGTTACCAGCCGACCCTTCCAATATCTCCAGAACACCCACCCGACACCTCAACCTGGAGTCAATGTACTCACTCCATCAGTCTTGATAAACATGCAGCATATAAGAGGATAAGGGACTTATATACTGCTGAAAGATGAGGTGAAGCAGTGGCAGGCGGCTTTACGAGAGAAAAAAAAAACTAATGGAAGTAGGTCACACTTATTGGTTTAAGCAAACTTGAAAAAATTTCCTACATCATCCTAATGCAATGAGACATTTCAGTTTTGCAACTTTAAAAAAAAAGGACCAGCTAGGACCAAGACAACAAAATTAATTCAAACTTCTAAGATCTACTAGCGTTTAAGGTTTAAATAAAGAAATATCCATATAAGTAATTAACTATGATTTATTAAATGAGCATTAAATGAATCTAACCTAGAATATTCCAGTCAAACATTGAACAGAAGATGATAAGAAATGTTCTCAGATTATGTCACAGAAAAGAACTGGATTCATATTAACATATTAAAACTTAAACCATACCCCCGGCCGGGATTGAACCCGCGGTCATAGAGTCTCAAAACTCCAGCCCGTCGCGTTAGCCACTAGACCAGCTAGCCACAATAAGATTCATCCAACTAGGTATATTTGCAATCGAGTCATTACGATTTCTTGAGTCATATTAAAACTTACACAGAAACAAGGGGTCACAGATGGAAATTGTAGACTCTGATGAGTCGAAGAGATGTTAGGAAGTATTTCTTCAGTCAGAGAGTTGTTAGGAAGTATTTCCTGAGTCAGAGAGTTGTTAGGAAGTATTTCCTCAGTCAGAGAGTTGTTAGGAAGTATTTCCTCAGTCAGAGAGTTGTTAGGAAGTATTTCCTCAGTCAGAGAGTTGTTAAGAAGTATTTCCTCAGTCAGAGAGTTGTTAGGAAGTATTTTTCCCCAGTCAGAGAGTTGTTAGGAAGTATTTCCTCAGTCAGAGAGTTGTTAGGAAGTATTTCCTCAGTCAGAGAGTTGTTAAGAAGTATTTCCTCAGTCAGAGAGTTGTTAGGAAGTATTTCCTCAGTCAGAGAGTTGTTAGGAACTATTTCCTCAGTCAGAGAGTTGTTAAGAAGTATTTCCTCAGTCAGAGAGTTGTTAAGAAGTATTTCCTCAGTCAGAGAGTTGTTAGAAAGTATTTCCTCAGTCAGAGAGTTGTTAGGAAGTATTTCCTCAGTCAGAGAGTTGTTAAGAAGTATTTCCTCAGTCAGAGAGTTGTTAAGAAGTATTTCCTCAGTCAGAGAGTTGTTAAGAAGTATTTCCTCAGTCAGAGAGTTGTTAGGAAGTATTTCCTCAGTCAGAGAGTTGTTAGGAACTATTTCCTCAGTCAGAGAGTTGTTAAGAAGTATTTCCTCAGTCAGAGAGTTGTTAAGAAGTATTTCCTCAGTCAGAGAGTTGTTAGAAAGTATTTCCTGAGTCAGAGAGTTTTTAGGAAGTATTTCCTCAGTCAGAGAGTTGTTAAGAAGTATTTCCTCAGTCAGAGAGTTGTTAAGAAGTATTTCCTCAGTCAGAGAGTTGTTAAGAAGTATTTCCTCAGTCAGAGAGTTGTTAAGAAGTATTTCCTCAGTCAAGAGTTGTTAAGAAGTATTTCCTCAGTCAGAGAGTTGTTAGGAAGTATTTCCTCAGTCAGAGAGTTGTTAAGAAGTATTTCCTCAGTCAGAGAGTTGTTAGGAAGTATTTCCTCAGTCAGAGAGTTGTTAGAAGTATTTCCTGAGTCAGAGAGTTGTTAGGAAGTGGAATAGTTTGGCAAGTGACATAGTGGAGGCAGGAACCATACATAGTTTTAAGACGAGGTATGAATAAGCTCATGGAACAAGTACAGAGAGGACCTAGTAGCGGTCACTGAAGAGGCGGGGCCAGGAGCTAAGGATCGACACCTGCAACCACAATTAGGAGTAAGACATAAAGTCAAGGCAACGCTCCATAAGCAATAAAAGTTTCAAGCCGACCAGAGGAGGCATTCTCCAGGTAAAGTACAGAATTCAACAAAATGCGCGCCTACACAGCCTAAAACCAAGAATATTTTTACTCATCCTTTACATTTTTGAATTTTAATCATGAGAAAGCGCTAAACCTGTAGGAGGTAATGCAACACCTATGAAAAAAACATGCATTCAGATTCAAGGAAAAGGAAGACGAGTCAAGTTTCTTGGATCAAGATCCCTTCAGCATCAAGGAAAATAAAGTGAAATAAAATTATTTCATTTAGATGTTAAACTAACAAAACGTCACCTACATACTACATTAACAATATTAACCTTCTAAGAATGTTAAACTAACAAAACGTCACCTACATACTACATTAACAATACCAACCTTCTAAGAATGTTAAACTAACAAAACGTCACCTACATTCTACATTAACAATATTAACCTTCTACGAATGTTAAACTAACAAAACGTCACCTACATACTACATTAACAATATCAACCTTCTAAGAATGTTAAACTAACAAAACGTCACCTACATACTACATTAACACTACCAACTTTCTAAGAATGTTAAACTAACAAAACGTCACCTACATACTACATTAACAATATCAACCTTCTAAGAATGTTAAACTAACAAAACGTCACCTACATACTACATTAACACTACCAACCTTCTAAGAATGTTAAACTAACAAAACGTCACCTACATACTACATTAACAATACCATTCTTCTAAGAATGTTAAACTAACAAAACGTCACCTACATACTACATTAACACTACCAACCTTCTAAGAATGTTAAACTAACAAAACGTCACCTACATACTACATTAACACTACCAACCTTCTAAGAATGTTAAACTAACAAAACGTCACCCACATACTACATTAACAATATCAATTTTCCAAGAATGTTAAACTAACAAAACGTCACCTACATACTACATTAACAATACCATTCATCTAAGAATGTTAAACTAACAAAACGTCACCTACTTACTACATTAACACTACCAACCTTCTAAGAATGTTAAACTAACAAAACGTCACCTACATACTACATTAACAATATCAATTTTCCAAGAATGTTAAACTAACAAAACGTCACCTACATAATACATTAACACTACCAACCTTCTAAGAATGTTAAACTAACAAAACGTCACCTACATACTACATTAACACTACCAACCTTCTAAGAATGTTAAACTAACAAAACGTCACCTACATACTACATTAACAATACCATTCTTCTAAGAATGTTAAACTAAGAAAACGTCACCTACTTACTACATTAACACTACCAACCTTCTAAGAATGTTAAACTAACAAAATGTCACCTACATACTACATTAGCAATACCAACCTTCTAAGAATGTTAAACTAACAAAACATCACCTACATACTACATTAACACTACCAACCTTCAATAGTTCGTTAATAGTGATGTTGAAAGTGCCGGGCTTGCTGCGTTTGCAAGGTGTTCATACACCATGCAGTACAGCACCTTGGAGGAATCTCCGTCGGGGAGTGGAGAGGGAGTTGCTGGGCGATGGTGCCTGTAGATTAGCGTGTAGAGTCTTGGTGGTGTCGGTTTGTGGTTTGGTTATTGCAGCGTATGTCGGTGAATTGGAGGTGTTCTTCAGAACTTTAGTTTTCTTCAATATGATTTCTTTCCTGTCACTTCAACTCCATATTGTTTCAGACTATGGAACAATGCTCTTCTCCAGACTGAGGGACTGACAACCTCAAAACTTTAAGGGTGATGGACTGATTACATCGTCTTCAAGTCTCTTCTGCTTCTATCAACTTTTCTGCACTCGACTGAAGAAGCCTACTGTGTAGGCGAAACGTTTCGAAATAAAGATACCTAACTGTTGCATATGTGTCTTACCTAACAACCTGTCGGTATTTTATACAATTTTAATGTTCAATCTGTCAGACACTGCAACACAAGGGTGTCTTGGTACAGACCTGAAATCAACTTCGACAACCTCTACTAGTGAGAACGGCTGGATTTGAGAGGGACCTGACCTCCCAAATTGACCTACGTCTCACCTCCTGGCGCTATATAAGGCTCCATCCTGTCATTTCAACGCTATTCAACACATTCAGAACATAGAACACTGGAACACTATACTCACACACGAAACAACACCAGACAGCCACATCCTCCTGGACTCTCTTACCTCCTCCCAAGAACTTGACACTCCTTTCACCAACACAGACGTTATAACTCTCCTCAGACACCTTCCTCCCAAGGCTCCTGGTGCCTCTGGCCTAAACCATATTATCCT